GAGAGTTGGATTCGCGGTCAAATCTACCTTACAACATTGGAGAACCCTACTCCATACTTTTTAGGTCCCAGTCCGCTTAATGTTTGCCGTTAATAGTTACTCATCAAGACTTTCCTTTCAGCCATTCTGGGAGAAAATTAAATTAGGTTTTAAATTGTTCCTTCTTTCTTTGTAAAGTCCACATTAGGATTTCGCCAAGATAATTGAATACTCCCTTTGTATATAGTATGATTTGTCAACATTGCTTTGACCAGAATGTAGAACAACATTTCAGCTTTCCAGAACCACTTTACTGTAGAGCAAGTGTGCTCTGACCACAATGCATATGAATTATGAACGAGCTTACAGATTTTGTGATCTTTTGAGGCAGCTGATTGCTTTTTTGTCACCTCCAACCATTCAGAATATTTCTGATTGTTACAAGAGCTCCACTTTTGATGTAGCATAAAAAAATCATGAGCCGATACTTAATTATTATAATATTATATTGTACTTTAGGTATCTCTATATATCCCTATGCACTATGTTTTGATTCAGAACGTCAAGCATTTTCATATAGCATTGTCTTTATTTAATAAGATTATTTTTAATATAGGTTCACATGGTGCCATTGCAGTAAAAGCTTGAGCTAACAAGTATGTGTGCAGCAAGTTTATGTAAAATATCGTCAAAGATTGTTTCTTCCTGCCTAACACTTGGCATAGGTTCCATGGTACTAGGTAATGGTCTTTTTATAATTTTAAATGGTGAAGTCTTCTGGAATTGTTTTCTATGTTCTTGATTGTCTCTTAAAGTCTGCAGGTGGATATAGCATTTTGCATACTTTGTCTGTGTCTCTATTTTCATACCAGTTTTATTTACTTATTTATTTTTTGTTTTTTTTTTATTATTTTATTTTTTGGGGTTGGAGTTCTCTAATAGTCTGGAGTTAAGCAGTGAAAAGTTTGCTAATCTCAATTACTTGGTTTAGTAATAGTGGCATGTTTTCATGTTATGGTAATCCTTCCCTTTTCCTTTTTCTTTTTATTTTCTCACACAGTCTCTGTTTTCCAGACTGTCAATTAAACATTTTTTTAGCCCATTCTGTTTAAAAGAAAGAAAATTTACATTTTTTTTTTGTTTTTTTTTTTAATCTTATTCTTCTTTTCTTTTTGAACTGAAACCTTGATCATGATGTGTTGTTCTATGCCATTTTAGTAACCTTGTTAGAGCCCTAGTGGTACAAGTTTCTGGTTGTTAGTTGTAACAAATATGCCAACCCCAATTTATGACATTGAACACATTTGACAAAATACTCCGTATGATGCAACCAAAAGCCTTTATTAATGAATGATTCCAATCTACTAAAACGGAAAAATTTGACTATAAAGTAAATTTTGTTGAGAACTAAGAAGTTGAATGTATTTGGAAAGTAGCAGATCATCTGTGTTTTTTCCTTTTCCTCTTTCCTTTTCCTTTCCTTTTTCCCTCGTGATTGCATGATTGTGTATGGTCCTCCAAGCTTAAAGTGGAATTCCACCGGTTGATGAAGATGACCATAATGAATGATGGATTGCGATGGCAATAATGGGGACAGCTGAAGTTTGACATTTATACAGGTGATGCCCATTCTAAAACAAATGCATTCATGCAAGGTCATCATTTTTACAGCCCATCTGTTGTCCTTGCTTGACCTTTTATGTGTTTGGCTACCATAATAATAACACCCATTTAATGGATAGTCCAGCTGGGTTTTTAGACTCCACTTTAGGGTAGGTGGCAGTGGGTAGGGTTTTTTTATTATTATTATTTATTTTATTATTATTATTATTTTTGGACAGTGGGTAGGGTTTGGTTCAGTTTTAGGACTACTTCCAGCAGTTTCAAGACAACACAACCAATAAAACTATGGTGATTTGTACTATTTTTTATTGTAATAGTATTTTTTTTTTTTTTTTTGATAAGTAAAATAAATCAATTTATGTTGCAATAATAATAGTTAATATGTTGATGGTTGCTAAAACTATATATATCTATATTTTGATACGTTGATGGTTGGGAGGGAAAGTTTAGAGGTGAATCTAACTTGTGACATTATTTTGCGCGCAAAATAAAAGAAGAAAAAAAAAAAAAAAAAAAAAAAAAAAAGTGTCATTCTCGTATTGAATCTGTATTGATGGGGTACTTTTTGTTAGTACTGCACCAAATAATGATGCCTAGAACAATAAATAACAGTTAAGCAGGTCCAGAATTAAAAACTGGATTTTAAGAGATCTCAAATATTTGGGGTTTCAATTTCAAATATTATGTGATCATGATGATACTCAGTTGGATTCTTGCAATTTGGACTAGACTTGTATTTGGTAGTCGTAGGTGGTGGTTAATTTTGCATTTGTAATATTTTTTTCCCAATGTCATTTAGTTCTATTCACAAAGTTTTTTTGCAACTGCGGCGGCATATAAAATGTGTGGGTCTCTGTGTGTGTGTGTGTGTGTGTGAGAGAGAGTGAGAGAGAGATCCATGTCCATGATGGTAGCCCTTAGATGAGTTTTGGCCACCACTTGAATCTGTGACAAGTCCTCCTCTATAATAGAGAAGTTGAAAGATGACAATATGTCATATAGGGAAAAATATCTCATCAAAATACTTTAATCCCATACCATGAATTCAAAACAACACAATTAACCACTACTATTTGTGGGCATCAACTGCCATGAGTTTCTAGCCATGTCTCAACAAGTGGAAACCAAAAAAGCTCTCTCTCTCTCTCTCTCTCTCTCTCTCTCACACACACACACACACACACACACAAAAAAAGCTCTTGATTTGTTTATCCAAACTCACAAAAACCAAATTAATTACACTATAGAATAAGTCAGCGCACACCAATACTGTTGAGACCAATAATAAGTGTTACAAATTATCAGTCCTAATTTGTTATGGTATTAAACCACTAAGACACAACCGTAAGGTACAAGTTCCGGTGGGCAAACACCCAAACACTGTCTTCCCTTATCCACCACGTTACTTACATGTATACTATTAAACAACCCTATTTTAGTAATTTCACTGGTACACGATGACAATTAATTAATTTGAACGTTGATGGGAAATAAAACGTGAATTAGGCAATCAACTTGACTAAATCTATATTTTATAGAATATACGAATATAATATATATAGGCGTATGCAGTGGTCTGCGACTATGCGCGGATTGAAAGTTTGAAATATTCAGTCATCGGTGACTTATAAAAATCCAATTGCCACTCAAAATTCAAAGTAGTACAAAAGTAATTGCATTGAATGTGATGGAATTGAATTTTTTTCTTAATTGTTTCGCTCGTGTTGCGTGCCCATTGAAATATGATATAAAGTCACATTTTAGCTTAGCATCTATTATTAGCAGCTAGACTCCGTCAAATAGCGTGTGATATGAAAATGTCACGGTGCAATACAATCATTTTAATCAATGGTGTTCAATATGTAGACCCAGTAAAAACATGCACTTAATAATAATGTGCAGTGCGACCAAAATAAAAATGTTTCTTTGTTTGTTGCAACTTTCATGTAAAACTCTTAATATATAAACACAACAAATATATATATATATATATATATATATATATATATATCATTTTTGTACTAAGATTAGTTAAGTGAATGAGATTTCTATCATGCCAAAGTATGAAAATGACTAAATATATGCAGTTTGTTTTATTTTAAACTTGTGATTTCGAATCACAGTAATCATACTAATGCTAGTTTAGTGCATGAGCTTTCTATCACGCCGAGTATGAAAATGACTAAATATACACAATTTCTTTGATTTGAAATTCGTGACCTCGTATCAGAGTAATTTTACTATTCCATCAGGACCCGCAATTTGAAAAGGGGGGAGTACCACAAGGGCGTACATTTCAATTTTTGTTTGCTCATGGAAGGTTGGAGAAGGTATCTAAAGGAATGATTGAAGTTGAACCTTCTTTTTCCTTTTTCCTTTCCCTGGTGGATAAGCTATGATTCAACTATGGACAGTAAATCCGAGTCACTTCTCAGATTGAAACAGTGGATGTGATTACCCTTTGATGCAAAACGAATACCATCAACGGTATGATTCAAAAACTTCCAGACAGAAGAAACAAACAAAAGAAATAGATTCACTCAATGCCTTGGCAGTTCGTTTAAATCAAAGGCCTGAATTGAAATGATCACAGAGTAAAAAGTACGTATGTGGAAACACCAGCATTTGGCTTGGTATGTCAGAAAGTAAAAAAAGAAAAAGTTCTCTTAAAATCCCACACTTTCTCTTCTCAAAAATAAAATAAAAAAAATTATAATAATAAATGTACATAAATGCATCCCAATGATGCTTCTCATAAAAATAAATTAAAAAAGTTATTTTTCTATATTTTCTTTTCTCCTCTTTTATTTCCATTTCCTCTTTCTACCAAGAAAGGGAAATGAAGTTTAAAAATTAAATGCATTTATATGATAAGAAAATAAATGATACACAAATCACACCACCATCGCTTGAGTTTTCTCATAATTATACAAATCATTTTCATGTTTTTTAAAAATGACTTTTGACCTCTCTCATCAAATGATTTATATTTGATGATATTAATAGGTCATTTATTTGACAATTTCATCCCAACTTGTTGGATAACCAACGTTCCATTTGGTTACAGATGGAAATAGCAATAAAAAAGAAAGAAAATAAAATTTTTCTAAACACTTCATAAGTTTGATTAACAGCATAACCAACCATCTTTCTAATAAAAAATTTCTCAAAAATAAAAAAAAAAATTATAAATATAAAAACTTAATTTCTTGATAAAATTTTATAAATTTACAATAATACCTCATCATTAATTAATTCAGAACAGAGGTTAACTAACTCTAATAAATGATCTTACTAATAAAAGTTGTGGAGCCGCATTCAACTACCTAAGATAGAAAAACAACACACATATGCTACTACTCTTAAGGCTGAAATAATAGACCATCTTCATTAGTCATACATTTACAGCTACAGCATATGAATAGTAATAAAACTCCTCTCTCTCTCTCTCTCTCTCTGCCTTGACCCAGTATTAAACCTGCATGCCGGCTACAGACGTCTTCAAAAGTTCAAACACACCCCCACCATTTAAAATGCCCCCATAACATACCGTATCTCCCATATTTTATATCCAGATTCACATTCCTTCAATCCATCTCTCTCTCTCTCTCTCTCTATCATTCCAATGATTTTATAAACAATCACTGCTTTCCTCTTCAGTATTTCCTAAATTATACTAGCTCAACCCAGTTTAATTTAATTACTCCATCTCCCAACAACCCTTGAATCATTTCATTTCAAGCTTTTTCTATCATCAATCAATCATGTTTCCGGTGAACTCACTCCTACTGCTGGCGGGTGCAATTGTAGTTCTGTTTTTGGTTCTTCGATTTCTATCCAAAACATCTCTTTTACATTTTCTCAAGAAATGGTGGCGATTGATTGAAGATGGATGTTATGCATACCAGTTCTACAAAGTTCCGCAATTCAACGACCATATGCAAGAAAATCAGCTTTACCGGAAAATTTCCACTTACCTGAATTCTTCGCCGTCCGTCGAAGACTCCGATTTCGCGAACCTTTTCTCCGGCAACAAGTCGAACGAAATCAGCCTTGTTCTCGATCCCAATCAAGTCGTGATGGATACGTTCCTCAGCGCTAGGGTGTATTGGACGAACGACAAGTGCGAGACAAATGGTTCCAGAGCGCTGGTTTTGAGGATCAGAAGGAACGATAAGCGTCGAATTCTTCGTCCTTACCTTCAACATATTCACACGGTGTTCGACGAAATTGAGCAGAGAAGGAAAGAGATTAAACTGTATATCAACGCGGAGGCGGAACCGCAGAGGAACGGACGGTGGAGATCGATTCCGTTCACGCATCCGGCGACTATCGACACGGTGGCGATGGACTCGGATCTCAAGAACAAGGTAAAGTCCGACCTCGAGGCGTTCCTCAAGTCGAAGCAGTACTATCACCGGCTCGGACGAGTCTGGAAGCGGAGTTACCTCCTGTACGGGCCGTCCGGCACCGGAAAATCGAGCTTCGTCGCCGCAATGGCGAAGTTCCTCAGCTACGACGTGTACGACATCGATTTGTCAAAAGTCTCCGACGATTCAGATCTGAAGATGCTCTTGCTACAGACGTCGAACAAATCGATGATCGTGATCGAAGATCTTGATCGGTATTTGACCGAGAAATCAACGGCTGTGAGCTTGTCTGGGATTCTGAATTTCATGGACGGGATAGTATCATGCTGCGGCGAAGAACGCGTGATGGTCTTCACGATGAACGGTAAGGATAACATCGATCCTGCGGTTATGAGGCCCGGAAGGATCGACGTTCACATACAGTTCCCTACCTGCGATTTCTCAGCTTTCAAAACCCTAGCGAACAGTCACTTAGGGCTCAAAGAACACAAGCTCTTCCCTCAGGTTGAAGAGATCTTCCAGATCGGAGGGACTTTGACTCCGGCCGAGATCGGCGAGATCATGATTTCGAATCGGAGCTCACCGAGTCGGGCTCTGAAAGCGGTCATTACCGCGTTGCAGACCAACGTTGACAGGAGGGAGTCCAGTAAAACGGGGCAGAAATTGGGTCATAGCGCGTCGGGTCGGACCGCGGAAGAGTCGGGCGAATCCGGATTCTTTTGCCGGGAAAGCGTTCACACCGTAAAAGAGTTCCGGAAATTGTACGGACTACTGAGAATGAAGAGCAGTAGGAAGGAGTCTATAGACTTAGATGCAGCTGAGAAGGAAAATTCACGGCATGAACGGCATGAACATTAACCCGACAGCTTCCGGCAGATCAGCCCGTGTTTACATTCGGAGCTCCAAACAGTTAAGATCTGGGATTTTTTTTTTTTTTGTACCCTTGTTCATCAAAGGGCTTTCTTACAATACTTCATTTTCTTTGTACTGTTTTTTCTTTTTCATCTCAATACACCTTTTCTTTTTTTTCTTTTTCTTTTTTTTAAGTTAATTGTTGTATAAATTTTCTTTTGAACAGCCGACCCTATTCACATGAAAAAAGGCAAAATGATGACAACGAAAAATTATTGTTATATAAAATTCTCCTCAAGTTTAAGTTGAAATTCGGGAATGATGTTGATTAAATGTTTCTTTAGCCTTTTTTGTTGGAAAATTTTATTTTATTTTTGTTATTACTCGTGGCGCGATGGCACAAAGATAAATTTGGTAGGGACATAATTTGTTATGGAATATTTTTAATTCCACAACTGAAATTTGAAATATTATTGGGACTTCATTTCCATTTTATTAAATTACTACAGTACTACATTTAGAATGGGGTCGATGATGGTGCATGTGAAACAAGCCATGAAGTGAATGAATGATTGTTGCTGGCAAGTTGGTGTCATGTGGGATGTTGTTGACTATGTAAATACGTATGGTGAATTAGAGAGTGAAACCAAACAAATGTGTGTAATCACCGCACAAACCATGATGATTATTGTTATAAAAGTCCTTTAGTCTGTTATTAAATTATGTGACAAATTGCATTCTTAATAATTGCAGCATTGTGTTTTTAACTTTGAAAACTTTCAATCAAAAGGACAAGTCAGTCTAACTAGACCATCTTGAACCATACATAAATTGCTGGTTTAGTAAAATAAAAATTATGTTCAAAATTATTATTATTTTTATATATAATATATTATAGTATATATTTTTGGGTGTATTTTTCTTAATCAGAGACTTTTATAACATTGGACCATATGATAAAAGTCCAAGCAGCAAAACTTTACATGGCACATGGTGAGACTAGACAACTACTGACCTTGAAAAGAAGCCATTGATTTGGTTGGTTTATTGAAAAGACAATAGAATATAGGGATCCACTTGTGATATATTTGACTTTATGAGATGGTCCTTCATGATGATACAACTATCTCTGAAAAATTGTAATGCCTGTGCTTCTTTTCATTTACTACTTTTCAGAGAAAGCCATTGTGAGTATGTACAGTAATAAATAAATAAAATGAGTGTCCCTACTAATTCGGTACCTTGCCCCGCGGGCGCATTCACGATTCAACATTACATGAGTGTGGAGAACATTCAAGATTCAATATTCTTAGGTGAAATTTTCTCTTTTTTTTAATAATGATTTAAAATTTTTATTTGATTATAATTTTAAGATATTAATTTTGTGTAATCCAACATAGACCGCAAAAGTTAGTGATAAGCAGAGAGGATTAAGATGTGTGAGAATTTTTGTCTCTCACTGTCATACTCCTTTCCGGTGAGAGAAAAGTGGGCAATCTTTTGTCTCTAAATCAATTGTGTCCATCCATATATGATATAGTATGGTAGGCATACGGCATACTATATTGTTAAGTGGGTCTCACTTATATTAGAACCAGCTTGGATTGGATTCGTTTGATGGGTCAAATCTGATTGGTTAAACAGTGCCATAAAAAATGTTTGTCTATATATATATATATATATATCGATAGATAGATAGGTAGTTTATTGACACAGAAATTGTTTTCAATATTATGATACTGCAATGTTGATTGTTACGTATCGTCCTTACATTGACCTGTTAATGTATCACGCGATACTTAATATACATTTGAAGAAGCACAATCTTTGATTTGAGTAATATATAGGCAGATTATACAAACAAATGAAAATATATTTACGTAAATTTCACATTATATCATCTCCTTTCTTTTACTATTCTTCAAATTTTTTTTTTTTTTTTTTAATAAATATTTTTACTTTTATGTTTTAAATACATTACTTAGATGATTGATAATTCTATATAACAATTAGAGGTAAGTGTTCATTTGGTTCAAACTTTGAAATCAATCAATCTTTCTAGAAATAGTCATGGTCAAGATTGCATATCATTCATCGTTTCTAAATTATCAAACGCGAATGCCTTATGCTTAGTATGATTTTTTCTTTCTTTCTTTGCAGATAAATGGTAAGGTGATCAAATTGATTATCTAATGAAGAACAGTACGACTCTCCATTCACTTAATTGTTGGTGTAGGGTTTATATCTAGAACCCCACACCAACCATTTTCATTTGACTAATATTTTCTGTAAGCTTATAATTATTATTATTTTTTTATATTAATTATAGGTTAAAACTGACAAGCATTTCCTTAAATGTGCTTAGTTTAGGCTTAACTGGGCCTGGTTAAGCATTTCCTTGAATGTGTGTTGTGTTTCTCCTCCCTACGCCCTTAACTCGTTTATATTAGTACAACTGTGTCGTGTGCCAACCAAAGCATAGACATCCTTTTCAATATTAACTCATTTGATATCATGACGTAGTTTGATTTGTTTGAAGGAGGAAATCGACTCAAAACACTTAATTTAACTCAACACTCAATCATTCAACCCTTTTTTTATTATATATTATATGTGTTATTGATCCTTTAATTTGGATATTTTTTCGGATATTATCTTCTAATTTGGATTTTTTTTTTATTTTTATATATGTTATTGATCCTACAACTTACCAGTTTACTTTTTCGAATTTTTTCATTAATATACAACACAACAATCAATCAATCAATTTTTTATTTTATTTTTTATGTCTAATTGCTTGGGGTCGGGATTTGATTTTATCATTGATGGATGCTGTGTGTAATTTTTCGTTCACGTTTTTCATTATTAAGTGCGTACGTATTTTAGCATAAACTCAAATGTATACTTAAAAGTTAAAACTAATATAAAATCCTTTCATTCACATCTAAATATGTGCTTATATTCATGTTTATTACTGTATAAGGCTTTCTAAGAATTTATCACCTATTATTAGGAAGAAAAGTAATTTTTATTTAAAATATTTTGCACCAAAAACTTATGGAAATTAAGAGCCTGTTTGGTTTTTAACTCTAACAGAAAATTATACAAAAAAAACTCTGGTGGGTTCAGTTTTCTAAAAATTCAATTATAAAAATTCTTATTTTCAAATAACTATTTTTTATTATATTTAAAAAAAAAAATTCTATTGTCTAATTTCTTAAAAACCGTTCTCAAAATTACACACTAAACAAATCCTAAGCACTTCACCTCGAAACAAAATCATCGTTTGTGAAACCAAAAAGTATTGCTATATCCTTCTTACTTGCCCAAAAAACAAAAAAATTATTGAGCAAGCAACCGGACCAGGCTAGGCCCATAAACGCCAAACTTGAGCTAATTGTTAAGTCCCAAAAGAACGGGCCTGTATATTTATGCTGGGTTGAAGAATCAGGAGCGCTTATTATTAGACATGTGAATGGATCAGTCATCCGAATCCGACTATTTCAAATTCTTTTAGCGAAGACGAAAAGAACGAGGGAAGGACAAGAGTTCATGTTGAATAATGGATTCTAAAGGCAAAGGCTCGTGAATACTCGGATGAAAATCAAATCTTGAATATGAATTGAATAAAAAATTTGATAATGGTTCAAATTCTATAATATTATAATATATTATATTCGAATGTTTTTTTTATTAGTTATTTACTATTAAATTAAATATACTAATTATATTCAATTAAATTTATTTAATTGCATAATTATATTATGCACCATCTTATATATATTAATTAAGGATGCATATGGTTCAGTTCGGTACGAATTCTAACAAAACACGAATCGAATTGTTCCTAAGGATTCCAGTTCTCTCCTAGAAAATTAAAACCGAAGCCATCGAGACATGAAACTTAAACCTCGCTGGGCATTTCCATTGCTTGGATCACTCAATCTAAAATAGTTGATTTCATAGCTACTTTCCATGGAATTGATTTTATGTCGAAAAATAGACAGAATGGCTAATTAGTAAGCATGTTTTGTAACTTCTGAGGTGGATAATAATTGTTAAAAGGCCATGGGAGTAACTAATTATCTCTTTTGTCATGTTTAGTTGGAGAGAAGGATTGGGAAATGATGGATGAGAGGAGGGATAAAAATAACTTCTTTATGTTTGGTTGGAAGGAATGAAAGAAGGGAGGAAACAAGAAGGGATAAATCATTTCTCGTTCATTTGTATTTTCCTATCTTCTCAAATTTGGGTAGAAGAGGAGAGAGAAAGAAGGACTATAACTAACAAATTTGTTAGTTATATTTTCAACCTTCCTAAAAGTTTGCTTGTTAAACCCCATTGTATTAACGAGGGTATATTGGTAAAACTATATAAAAACTCTCTTTCCTTTCCCTCCAATCAAAAAATACAAAAAATGTTACCCCATCTATTCTTTCTACTATTCATTTTATCAAATCAAATAAAAAGTTAGGGGACACCTTCCATCCCTTCCCCTCTTCCTTCCATCCATTTTTTCATCACCCTAATCACATGGAAAATAAAAAATATTGATTTTTATATACATAGACAAACATACAAAGAGTAACAAAGTTATTAAATTCTTTGGCATGGACAGTTTTTAAGTCACATAAAGCGGGTGTAGGAGCAATAAAAGTAAGTCAGAAACAGTGAGAATAAGAGCAAAAACTCGCGCAAAAACGTGAGAGTGGCGCTTATTGAGAAGGATTATATAACTTAATTTAATTCATGTTGCTATTCATGCATCTAGAGGAGAGTAATATTAAAACTGTGCTGTCCACATTCCATTGAAACTTCCAAATATTCCACAATTATCACAGATTGCTAGCATTTTTTCTCAAATTATCATTATGTATTGTAATTATATAATTAAAAAATATAATATATATATATATAATCATTTTGGCTTCGGTTCGATTTCCAAAGGTTTGAAAATCAGAACCGAATCGAAACTCACCGTTTTCACCCACAAAATTGGAATTGGAATCGGAGCTGAAACCGAAGCACCGGTTCAGTTTCGATCCATTTTTCGGTTCCACCGATTTTCTGTGCATTCCTAATATTAACAATTTTCTACTCCATCTAACTTAAAAATTTGATATGAATTTAATCCAAATATTAGTCAATTAGGATATAGATTGAAATTAACAATCAGATCCTATAATCCATTAGCTAAACAAATTAAGGCTATGTTTGTTTGGATGTAAAATATTTTTTTATCTTTTGGTATTTGGTTGTCCTAAATTTAGGAAGAAAAAAATATTATTCTCTCTATCCCAATTTAAGTGTCGTTTATTTATGGGGAGTAGTAATTTTGAAGGAGATATGTGGTGACATGCGTTATCTGGCATGAAAGTTACTAACTTGCCTTTTAAAATTTTGAATATTCAAATTTAAAATTTTAAACTCAAAGGATATATATTGAAAGATGTGAAATATATTGTTTAAAAAATGTAAGTGGACTATTATTTTGGGACAGATAAAAAAAAAAAATATGATACTTATTTTAGAATACAGAAAGTAAAACCTAACAAAAAAATAATTTACCTATCAAATTTTAACAAGTTATTTTACACTTTGATCTCAACCTCAACAACCTAATCTTTGTCAAATACCAAAAAAAATATAAAAATATATATTTTATCTCATAAAAATATTTTACGTTAATACAACCGAACCTAAGTGTGAATTTGGTCCATCTGACCCGTTGAAGGGCTATTTATAATATCACGCGCCATGGGCGACAGTGGTACGAAAAAAAAGAACTTCAGTTGAGAGACAGAGAGAGAAAGCGTGTCTCTAACTTAACCATGGTAAAAGAATTTAGTTGGGGGTTAGACTTTGGGTTTGTGTTAGGGTCTGAAGAAGACTCCAGCTTTGGCGACTCCGATCCCTCTCTCTCCGATCCATTCTTGTTATCAGCTCAACTCAAATTTTCTCCGATCCTCTCACAGATCCTTCTCTCTATTTATCTCGTAAGTAACTTCTCTCTCTCTATATATACATGTATTGGTTCTCTGAAATATTAATTAACTAAAATTAGGGTTCGTCACTCTGGTATTGCCAAATTCGTTTTCAGGGTAATACTAGGGGGCCAATCATTTTATTTTAGTGTAAATGTATTTGTAGATGTATATAACCCTCATTTTCTTAATTGTGAGGCTTTTGTATTGCTGATGAATATATATGCATTTTGAAAAACCCAAGGTTAAATCTTTGGTTAATGCCACATTGCTCTAGTTCAGCTATTGTGAGTCCCATGGCTCTGAACTTGAAATTTTGTCTTTGACTTTTGCAGTTGTTGTATACAGGGATTCTGAATTGGGGTTTGATCATAAACAGCATGGTAAAGTTCCGGAACTAGGTTGCTAGATTAATTTCTTCACTTGGGTTGAGTATTGCTTGATTACTAAGAATGTCTTGACTCATTTTTTAATTCTTTTTTGCAGAATTATCTTATTGGAGCTTTCAAGCCGGCTTGTAACATTTCAATAACATTTTCTGATGGGAAAACTCGCAAGCAGGTATTTAGGCTTTATTTATGCTCTTACTGGTGGTAATTTGTACTGGAGGTAGCATTTTTGAAGCATTGAACAGTAGTATAGGAACTTCAATTGTAGGTAATGATGGCTGAACCTTACGTGTTTCCTGTTGTCCGGTTGCTCAATGATATTGAAGTGATTACCTGAGCTTATGTTCAGCACTGGTTATAATATGCCATCTTATTGAATAATGGCTTAGTGATGATCACAAACAATTGCGGTATTCTTTATGGTGGAAATATGTGGAACTTAAAAAACAATGGACACCATTTAAAATTTAGAAGGGAAAGAGTTGTCCACGGCAATGCTGAAACTTCACATCATTCGCTCTCTTTTCAGTTGCGTTCCTCTTCCGATGATTTAATCAATTTTTTGGATTCTTTGGGGCCTTAGACCCCGGTTCCACTTTTGTATAAGGGACGTGTACCCCGGTTCCATTTTTGTATAAGGGACACGTTCCCCTCTTGAACGCCTTATTATTTAATTATTACTTATCAAAAAAAAAAAAAATCAATGGACATACTTTTACCATTTAAAATTTAGAAAATACTTCGCTTTTTGTGTTTGGTGGCGGAGGCTGTCCCCGCCCCTGATTCCCTTTGGTATTCCACAGTCCTCCCAAATTACGGCATCGGTTAAGTCTATGAGTTGATCACACGACTATGGTCATGCCTAAAGGCCTTATGTCAACTCAACTCCTTCAAGGGGGTTTACTTGCTTGGCTTTTGAGATAATTTATTCATGTAATTAGTGTTGTTGGTCCTTCTTATGGCTGTAAGATGTTAAATTAAGAAATTTTTAGGCGAAATACGACTTTGTTGGTGGTTTAGCATCCATCTGAATTCAAATTTAATTTTGACGGTTTACTTCTGTGAATTTATTGCAAGTAGAATATATAGTTTGATTTCCGCTGTCATGATCATACTTCTTTATTGTGTATGCATCTGTGTAGGTACCATTGAAGAAGGAAAATGGTCAAACAGTAATGGTCCCACTCTTTCAAAGTCAAGAAAACATTGCTGGGAAGGTATTCTGATGATACTGTAGTGATGTATATTGACTACATATAATTTCATTTAATATTTAGATATTTTCTGGTAAGTAATTTAATAATTTAGATATCAGCTTTCATAGTTTAGCTTAACAACTTAAATTCTCAATTTTTTATTTTTTTGTTTATAACATATATGTGTGTTTGTGTGGTGTCATTTTCAGATATCTGTGGAACCAGTTCAAGGAAAAAAGATTGAACACAATGGGATTAAAATCGAGCTCCTTGGTCAGATAGGTGAGCTTTTAATTGAATATTTTGTTACGATAATTGCTTTCAAGAAGATAAACATAGGAGATTTTACCTGTTACTATATTACCTTTGGCACTTTTTAATCTTCCTCAGTAATTATTAGAAGAATTTTTGGACATTTTTATTTCAATTATATTTCTCATTGCAGAAATGTATTTCGACAGAGGCAACTTCTATGACTTTACCTCCCTTGGTGAGTATATTTCTTACTTTGCTTTGACTAAATTAGGATTCTTTTTTTTTTTTTACCTGCTATTTATTATACACCAGTTAATGTTGATTATTATTATTATTTTTTTTTAAAAATTTTTGTGAAAAGACAAACTTTGAAGTTTGAATTGATTTTTATACTATTAATTGTAAGATCCATTTTTCTTATAAATATCTCTGACACTGTAGAGTAGTTTTGTTTTGTTTTTGTTACAATATATATTTTAAAATTAATTAGATAGAAGAATTTTTTTCCTTCTCTAACACTTCATGTGTTTTCAGTTCGTGAACTGGACGTTCCTGGTGAAGTATATGAAAGGAAAACATATCCATTTGAATTTTCTACTGTTGAAATGCCATACGAGACATACAATGGTGTCACTGTGCGGCTTAGGTAAGTTTGCTATTAAGTGTTTAAGTTTTTACAGTCGTTCATGTGAATTTTAAGTCTGATTATTTGAGATCTATTTTTGACTTTACTATATGATCAGATTAATTATGATAATGTAGCCATTAGCTGCTATAGTATTACTTGCAGCAAGTTCACTCATTTTACTGCATTGTTCATGTGCTGTTGGTTGCTATATGGCCTCATGTTATCCTGTAGCTGCCAATTAAAGCTTTGATTAAGATGTCGTTTAAGGGTTCTTAGAGATTTCTATTTATAGTCCTCACATGTATTTTCTGTAACCGTTTCGGAGTGTGGTTGTGTACCCAATATCGATGCAGCATAGAGCTACCCTCAATTGTTTCTTCATCTCTTCCCAACCATATTTTGTGGATCACAGCTTGTTTTCTATGTTGCTCGAATGCTGATGTTAGTGTTTGTTTCCTTCGATGTTCCATTTGTAAACTTCAAATTATCATTCTCATAAATTCAATAGGTTGTAGACATTATACATGGTCATTTAATTTAATGATTACTCCCTCCGTCCCACAAAAAGTGTCCACCTTTCCATTTTTTGCTGTCCCAAAATAATTGCCCCAATTCAAAATCCAATGTATCATTTTTTTAATATTCCTAATTTACCCTCCTTGCCTTGAAGTTATAAAAGCAATTAATGTTTATGTGGACCCATCACGAAGGGTATATTTGGAAATTCATTACCTACCGCTATAACAATATAAATTAAAACTACACTCTTAAAAAGCTAGGTTCCCAAAAAGGGACACTTTCTGTGGGATGGAGCCTGGAGGGAGTATTAATTAATAATAGAGTGCAAGCATCTAATTGCACATTAGTCAGTTAACTATTGAAATTTCACCTGCAGTTCATCAAACTAGTACATTATATATGATAGTTGTGATGTTAAATGACGCCATAATAAGAGTTATCCTGAATTATGTTTTCTGAAGGTATGTCCTGAAAGTGACAATCAGTCGTGGGTATGCTGGCAGCATTGTGGAATACCAAGATTTTATGGTGGGCCCCCCTCTCTCTCTGTCTCTCTCTCTCTCTCTCTATATATATATATCCCTCTCAAAATATTGGTTATTAACTTCTTGCTATCCTTTCTGCCATAAACACAACTTGAAGTTAACCATCTCTTAAGGTTATTTATTTATTTTTAAGAAAGATGGTCGTGTGGAATATGTGTTTCTTGAGAATGATGCGTAAAAATCAAGAATGTTGCGTAAAAATCAATGTAGCAAGTACTTGTTTTTCAAGAATAGAGCCCTGTATAAATTAGTGTTTTCATATCTACCATACAAGATAGTTGCTAGTATGCACAAAATTTGGAATGATATATGTATGCTAAAACCTTCACTTCTAGAGATGTTTTGACTTGAAATTAGTAGTAGGTTGTATGGAATATTTGAGATATGTCGTAACTGTGCTCTCATGATATGCATGTTTATATGTCTGTCTTTCATAAAGCTGGTCTATGTTCTCAAGTATGGAGTTTGTTACTGCAAGATAGCTAACATTTTACTTTAATCGAATCATCACTTATCTCTAACATCTGCTTACCATATATTGTTCTTATTTCTTACACTTCCTAGTCTCTCCATAACTAGTGGTTTAGTCTACTGATTAAGCATTCTTTTTCTTTTTCCAATTTGATTTGGTTTCTGAAATGAACTCAGACAAGTAGGCTTACTTGGTATTTTGCTTCAAAGAGTGGGAACCAATAGCTACTTCAACAAACATATGAAATTGTATTTATGATAGTCGAAGAATCTTATTATTTCTTATTTATTTTCTGTTTCTGGAATGCAAATGTGTGTCCTACAGTTGGAATCACATCTCAAACCTCGAAGGTATTAGGTGGAACACCCCACATGCAATTAGACATTCTCTTGAGTTCGTCGTTTCCTGGTGTTGGAGGTTTTAGAGTTTCATGGTTGTGAAATCTGACTAGATTTTGAGAAAAGATCCAATCTTCGCCATTTGCATGTTTGCTAAGGAATATGTGACCAGCTTTGCTGGTAAATGTATCAATCATGTGACCAAATGTGCAGGTTTTGGTTGAACATCCTTTAATAGAAAATAGGAACATAGATGATCGATATTTTGGAAACAGAAAAAATTATGATGCAATGCATCATATCAATCTCTGCCTTGGCACTGCAAGGATTAGGTGAGGGTTCTTTAGCCATGGGCCAGGTTAGTTTCACTGCCCAAATGTAGGCTTGAATTGGGAACTAGAAATGTACTAATATTGGCTGGTATAAAAGTTAAGTTGGTAGATACAATGATTTCAAGAGGAGTTATTACTTATTAGGTTATTTACAAGAAACTAACAGTGGGATAAGGAGACTGAATATGTAATAAAAGTATGTTACATGGAAAAGAGAAACGTCAGGCTTAATGCAAGTTGCGAATGGATTACCTAAATGAAGTTTTATATTAGGAGAATAGGAGTGAGTACTACAACAACAAACCATTTGGAATGGACAACACATGCATAAGTGCATGCATTTGCCAAGCAGGATAAATCTGATGCGCTAAACAACAATTTAAGGCAGACATCAATGCATTTATTCAAGGGAACACCATGGAAGAATTAATCTTAATTATTCTCGGCAAATGACAAAAATTATTATATGGCCACGAGAGTGAGGCTAATAATATGAGTGGGTTTGCTTGGGTCACAGGTTTTGGAAAGAATAAGCTTGGTAATCTAGTAATTAAAATTTGTAGTGGCATTGATATTGGCACAAGATAGATGAATGTATCAGGTCATTATCTTGTGACGTTATGACTACGAGGATCCCCTGTTATATGCCTATAAAGGTTACCAAACAGGGTCTTTTTACATCTTTAGTGGCATTGATATTGGCACAAGAGAGATGAATGTATCAGGTCATTATCATGTGACCTTATGACTCTATGAGGATCCCCTGTTATATGCCTATAAAGGTTACTAAACAGGGTCTTTTTACATCTGTATAAACCTTCCATAATTTGTTTATGTGATACGTACCATGCTCACTTATAAAAGATAATAATAATTACAATAGTAATATTCAAGTTAAAATAAAATACATGGTATGGTACCAGAAAAACAAAATTTAATATTGCATGCCATGGCTGATCTCCTTAGCTTTTAGCCAAATTTTATATTGAATACCTGTATCACATTTTTAGCCTTTGCATTATCAACTTGTCTAAAAACTTTCATAGTATGCTGGAAGTCTGATACCATTGTAGTTGCTGCAATTTTTATTATCCTCTCTAGAAAAATCTATCATCGCTTCTCTCAAACTTTCAATTCAGTCTTTATGATGTAAATTTTTAATTTTCTTTAGCCTACCATTTTATGGATTTCCATTCCCCCATGCTAACAAAGTTATTGTATGAATCATCAAATGTTATAAATTTGGTATGTACTGATATCTAGCTTCATCCGTTGTCCGTAATGCTTTGGAAGATTATTCTTTTACTTGTATATTTGCAGAGAATCCTTATCTGCTTTTGCTGTGCTCCTTTGAGAACTTCATTGTTCCACCTACCATGTTTCTTTGATGATGAGTTGATTCTATAGACATTTTAAGTGACGTTTATGATATCTTACTTATCAACAAAATTAAATAAATCATATTTTGGATATGGATGCACAGCTGAATGGAAAAGAAGGATTTATCTGGTTGTCCCTAAGTAAATGAGTCTTGAGACCTATTTGAATTTATGTAGTTTGTAATTTGTATGACTTGGTAAGATTCTATATGTATGACTCCCTTACCATAAATGTAAGGATGATAGACTTAATTTATTAATGTAATTTATGCTATGATGCAGTAGATGTTCTGCTGTAGGTTCTCATATATTCTTTGATTGGATTTATCAGTTTTTGTATGTGGTACCCTGATTTTTACACAATATTTTCTTTCCATATACATATATTTTATAGATTTTTTTTTCTATAGGTTCCTAATAGTATCTAACCACTTCAATTTCCTTCCAGCTATATTCCTTGTACCAATTTACAATCTTATTTTTTTCTGTGCTCTTTATGGACATTATCTATATAACACTTAGTTGTCCTGATTAATTTAATTGATTTTTTTTTTTTTTTTTTTTTGTTCCAGGTTCGCAATTATAACCCAGCTCCATCAATTAACAACAGTATTAAGGTTAGTGCAGCTGCTGCAGCACTACAATACCTATTGCATTTACGTGTGTGGCATTTAGCTGTGTACATAAAAAGAAAAATGGAAAATAATACCATTGGCGTGACTTGGATGGTTGTTACAAATTCCATTTACCAATTATAGTCATTTAAATAATCTTGGTTTTAATATTTTTTCATGCTTCATGTTCGTGAGAAATTGAGTATGTGATGGAGTGGCTTCTTGAACAGAGCTATCATCTTATTTTTTAATTTCAATGCCTATTTTCTTTATCTCTCATTCATCATGCAACTGCTAACCCCATTAGAAATTCTTTTTCTATCTCTAATCATTAAACCTTCCAGATGGAAGTTGGAATTGAAGATTGCCTTCACATTGAGTTCGAGTACAATAAAAGCAAGTAAGTCATAAATTGTCTGATTAAGGTGAACTATTGTTTGTTTCTTACTGAGTTCCTGATTAGACACCGACTGATAATCTCAGTGAGATACATGAAGCTGAAACCTGAAGTCGTTCAGTTCATGGATTGCACTGGACCTATTTTACCCAGGTCCTAATTACTTCCAAGTTCCAACCAACCAAAGCCTTATTATGACTGAAAATCGATGTTTAATGCCACTTAAGCAATATGTATTAGGTCTGGGATTGGAAAGTCCGTTATCTGGTTTTAAGGTCTGGCATTCATGGGCCTACCCAGATAGGTTCTGTCAGAATTTAGTTGTTCTTTGTCTTTTATAGAACTTCTATTAAAAGGGGATCTATACCCTCACTGATGGGAATTTTGAATAACCAGGTATCATCTTAAAGATGTTATCATAGGCAAGATATATTTTCTTCTTGTAAGAATCAAGATTAAAAATATGGATCTTGAGATCAGGCGTAGAGAATCAACAGGTTCAGGGGCCAACACTCATGTTGAAACAGAGACACTTGCAAAGTTTGAGTTGATGGATGGTGCTCCTGTCAGAGGTATGCTCAGTACCATCATTTATGGTTTTAGTTTTTCAATGAAAATATCTATTTTCTTTCATTTAAAGCTAGTATTTGCTTATCCTTGTCAGCTTTATCTGTATACATACATTATTAGGATTGGTTGGTTGTTGTACTATACCTTTGGAGGTAGGAAGAAGTTGACATTTCAATATGCATGCCAGCTGAACAATTTAGTGATTTCATGGGGGGACACAAAATGTGAAAATCGTTTTGAAACTCTCAGTCTCCGACTGATTATGAACTTATCAATTGGAAATATGTGCACTGCTTAGTTAGATTTCAACAAAGGCCTGTGAGTAGTTGAACCGACCCCTGAAGGGTCCCAAACAGAGTTTGAGCTGTCAAAACTCCTGGTCAGCTAAGAGTGTAAGGTTTTGAAGAAGTGACCCAATTGTGCTTGCGTGTGTTTGGTTATCAAAATGATGCAATTGTGAACTAATGAGGACCAACTCCAGTAACTTAAATTATGGACATGAGGTTGCCGAAGTCAACTGTGTCTGACAGGGAGGGGTGGGCTTTCAACACGAGGTTGAATATTCGAACAATGATAAAATAGGGAACTTTGGAGAAAATTTCTGATAGTACTGGAATTTCCTTTAATATAATCGAAAAATGAAGTGAGATATGGTGTAATTGGAAAATTTGTTTTACCACTTTACTTAATGACACTTCTGTTGTCAAGTTGTGGTTGAGCCGACCTGAAGAGGAACCAGGAACCAGTAATGATCGTCCAACCCTGATTGTTCAGACACTGGCCAAATCTTTTTTGCTTCCCAAGACGGTCAGTAGAAAGTTGAGGGATTCTTTGAAATCCAAGTTTCATTCACTTTATATTTCCAAACACTTCAAAGGGAATGGTTAAGAAATTCAATAATACTGTCTTCTTTCAGGTCCCTTTTTTTGATAGTTCTGTTTTAGTTAATATGAGTTCTTGAAAGCACTAAAGATGACTTGAGTTTTTGCATTCATGTTTTCCGGATTAATTTTCATTCTTACTTTTGAGAACAACAAAACTTTTATTTACCTGAATGTGATAGAAAAATGTCGAATCAGCTAAAGTAGGTCTGAATTGGATTTGTTTGTTAGTCATATTGCGCACTTAAAAGTTTTTTTTAATGTGTTTGCTTTTACAGGTGAATCAATTCCAATTAGACTGTTCCTTAGCCCTTACGAACTGACGCCAACACATCGCAACATCAACAACAAATTCAGCGTTAAATATTATTTGAACCTTGTACTTGTTGATGAAGAGGATCGTCGGTATTTTAAGCAGCAAGAAATCACAATATATCGCCTTGCAGAAACTTCCTAATCCATGTTGGTGTGAAATTGGCATTCTATCCAAGGGAAAAAAGAATGGAAGTTTAATCGCCTTGTGAAACAATATCAAGTGTTGACATCTTAGGTCATCTCACCAGATCTAGAATCCTGTTTCTTGAGAAGGGTTTCGATGAGATTGTATTTGTTAGTGAATCCCACCTTTTATACGGACATTGTAGCAAATGTATAGACAAGAAATTATGCACATCGGCTTTGTAAGGAGATATCTTTGGTTGATGTTCTGATACCATTTTGAACAGTTTTCTAGCATTTGATAGAATCAATAATTGTTGTCTTGTTTGGCCATTCTATATATGTGGTGTCGACATACCATCCTATGTCGATTGTTTTTCTTTGTGCTTTGTTCTGTATTCTGCTTGAGTCCTCTGGAATATTTATATTTAAGATCCATTTTGGAATGTTTTTCATTTTGCAGCATTTGAGCCTTGGTTGGTTTTGTCGTGTGGTGTGATGGGCAAATATTGCATACCTGTCATTCAATATAAATTTTCTAGAAATGGAGTCTCAGTGTCACCGGTATATCCACTGCAAGTGGTCTTAATTTTCATTTATTATTGTTGTTATTTTTATTTTTGTCATTTTTCACCTTCTCCTCCTCCTGCTGTTTGGGGGGGCTAAAAATAAGGAAACAGTAGTCTCTTTATACAAAGTACTTTCTCCATCTCGTGGGAAAGCTTTGTTTATTAGATATATATATTTTTGTTTTTATCTCCTTTCCAAGAAGGTATTGGATGTTCATCGGTTCATTTGAACCATAAGTATTTGTACAAATCTAAATCCGTGTTATACATGTACATTCATACACATGTTGGTACATCATGTCGGTGTATATTTAAATCCATATAATCGATACACAAGTCGGTACATCATATCGGTGTGTCAAATATTTAGATTCGTATAATCGATATGAAACGCGTATATTATGTCAGTGTACCAAATATCTATTTTTTTTAGACCAAGAAGATTAGATTACATTAGTGATTGTTTTACGTGGAAGGCACGTACTGGTTGGCATCTCAGTAACAGCAATTCCATTTTAAAAAATGCAAATTACTCAGGTTTAATTATTGAATAATTCAGTCTTTTGTGGATCTATCATTGACTAAAATGTGCATTTATTGTCTTCCTGGATTTCTAGGCCACAAATGAGCTGAGTTGATTTTATTTTATGTTTCACTAGTATTATTATTACTATTTTAATTTTTTTGTTTTTTCTTATACTTTGTCTTTTTTTGACGGTGGTGAAGGACTCTTTACATAAATTTATTGTAAGGATACTATAATAAACTTAATTCTTTATTTATATCAAAAACATCAAAAAGAGAAGTCCATAATTAATGGAGTACATGGTTTTATTATATAGATATTGAAAATTATATAAATAATTCATTAAACATGTTTATGAGTCTGTTTCAGATTCGATTATTTTGGTTACAAACAAGTCGTTTGTGTTAGAAAATTGAATCAATTAATGAAGACGAACAAGTTGAAACTGAAATATATAGAAAATTGAATCAATGAATGTTGACAAACAAGTTGGGACTTGGGAGGTGAAATATATGTACGAACATATAGCACGTGACAGAATTATATATATATATATATATATACATATATATATTACTGTGTATGAGAAAGTTGATATTTTGCTTTCGGAACCGACACTGAATAATACCATGGTATATGTTCACACATATTTTCACCATAACACCATCTTTACTCCGGTATGAGAAAGTTGATATTTTGCTATCATAACCGACACTGAATAATACCATAGTAATTGAAACATTATCTTTAATTTGGCTAACCATCACCATTGCCATCGTTCTCATGACAATCCCCCGTCCATGTCCCCATTTTCCAATCTCTCAAGCTGTCGGCACATGCGATGCATTTTTTATTAGTATTAGAAAATGAAATGAAATGAATTGAATTTAAACACGCTATCTGTGATTTAATGATATCTTTTTTCTTTTAAAATTAATACTAACAAATGAAACATTTTTTGGGAACAGATTGATTATTTCTTTCCTTTTGTTTGATTGAATAGAATAGAAGAGAAGAGTAAGAGAATTAGCTCACCATTTATTATGTTGGTGACGAGAGAAAGAGAGATAAAATTTTAGATTATTTTTACTATTATGTCCTGTAATACTTAAAATATTGTACTTTAAAACTTGTGTTTCTTCCCCCTTTTCCCTTCTTTCATATGAAAATTTGTAATTTTTTCCTTATATCATCTCTACAACAAAGGCATTTGTTCATTCCTTTCTATTTTCTTCCCACGTCTCTTCTTTCCTTTCTACTAAATAAGGCATAAATGTAGAAGGTTATAGCCTTGGACCAAAAAATAAAATAAAATAAATAATAATAATAATAATATTTTTACTCTAAGACTATGTTTGGTGAAGAAAAAAAAAACCAGAAAAAAAAAAAAAAAACCGAAGAGAGACAGAAAAGAAGAAAAAGGAAACAAAAAAATAGAAGAATTTAAAGAAGTATAAGGGGGAAAAAAATAAAAAAAGAAAAGAAAAATAACAGAATTTAGAAGGAAAAAAAAAAAAAAAGAGTTTAATTTAAGAAGGAAAATTTAACATAGAAAATTAATAAATTATTGTTTTTATTTATGGGGCAAGGGCCGCCCGGGGCATAGCTCCCTTCTATTTGATGTGTTTGGATCTAAGTCACATAAAGCAGACACCCCCGGCATAGCTCCCTCCTACTTGATGTGTTTGGATCTAAGTCACATAAAGCGGGAATGGAAGCGAGACTGTAACAGCGAGAACGTGAGAGTGACAAAATTATGTCTTTGAGCGATAACGTGCATGAAGCGTGAAAGCAAGAGCGCTCTTAAAAAGTGAGAGCAACTTCTGTTGAAAATAATTGTGTGACTTAAGTTTGAATCATTGCTGAATCATCTCTGGACTCTCTACTTAAGTTGTTGTAATTTTTTAAATAAATTAAATTTATTTTTAACATATTCAATATGTTTACTTTTAGTTAGATTTAATATATTAAAATAAATTTAATTGCATTTAGATCATTTATTAAAGAAAGATATATAAATAAAACTATATTTATTAGTGAGTCCATCTGTATAACTGCGATCATTTAAGTTTTTCTCCTCAGGTCACCATGGGCATGGAGGGAGTGCAGTACCTATACCGATAACCCGATAAAACTAATGGAACGGACGGCTCTGATACAATGGAAAAGCGGGAACACAGTGTATTGCAGCGCAAGATCCGAGAGCGTGTCATTTGGATCTTTTAAGTTGTGGGCACTGATTCAGATAAGGACCCCACCAATCAGACAACGGACATGAAGCCACGTGTCTCGTTAACTGTGAAACCGCGTCCTTCGTGCTTGCATATACCTCACCCCACCTCACGTACTATGCAGCATATATCACTCACTCTCCTCCGTCTCCAGTGTACGTTAGAATCTTACTGTGGAGAGGACACGCCCCCCTCGCTCTCCCTCTCTCTTCTTTCTCTCTCTAGATTTGGAGGCAGAGATCGTCGGTTTTCGCAACAATGGAGCTGTTCTATTACCTTGTGTTCGGCGGTCTCGGGCTCGTGGTGGCAGCTCTGGAGCTGAGCAAGAACAACAAAGACCGGATCAACACTTCTCTGCCTTTCAATTCCTTCAAGAACAATTACCTTCTCGTCTACTCTCTTATGATGGGTAAGCAAATTAACCATAGATCTGGCCCTCTTGTATTATAAATGTGTATACAAGCACACACAGTATATGTATATATAGCAATTTAGGAAATTGATCATTGTGGTTTGTATATTGTTAGATCATTTAACCAGATCTGAAGTAAGTGGTTTCGAGGTATTGAAGTGCCTTTTTGGATCTATGTTCCGACTCTGCTCGCAATATATTCTTTGAGAGATACTTTTGTTTTGCTTGGGTTTGGTTGGTATTTAGGGTTTTGGGGCTCGTTGGATGTGATTAAGACTCTGGATCTGAATCTGAATCTGAATCTCAATGATTCTTTAAACAGAAAAATGGAGGAGGAAAGAAGAATTAAATCTCAGAATCTTATTTTTCCATTGTTTTTGAGATCTCAGAAGCCCGAAACAAAGCTACCCAAGTGAGCCTAATTAAATTGTTTAAGAAAAAACAACATAAGATAAAATGGAACATTTTGGATTTGTTAATTGTTCTTTATGGTTGGTTCAGTTCACTTATCTGAGAAATTTGTTTTTTAGCTGATACAATTTTTTTTTTTTTTTTTTTTTTTTTTTTTCCCCCCGATTTTAGCTGATGGTATCGATTTGATCTAACTGGTTTCGTATGTTATACAAGTCCCTTCTTCATCAATTCTTGGTTAATTTTACTTCTTGACGACTTGAGTTACTTTTCGAATTTCTTTCAATGCTGAGATTTTGTTGATGAATGAAAAGCAGAAGAATGTCGATGCTTGATTTTATCTTTCTTTTCTTTTGGCTTTAGTTTTTTTGGCAAATAAGCAGAGGGGGTGTATTAATTGCTTTGAGCTGGCACCTTTAAAATAAAATTAGAATCCTGCGCTTCTTTATCAATTCTTTGGTGTATTAATTGCTTTGAGTAGGTAATTGTCTGCATCTTAGCTATTACTTTGTGGGCACATTTATGTATTTTCTCTGATGGATTTGTTTTTATGCGACAATAGCCGGGGATTGGTTGCAAGGTCCGTATGTGTACTATCTATATCGTACATATGGCTTCGGGAAGGGGGAGATCGGGCAGCTCTTTATCGCGGGTTTTGGATCTTCCATGTTGTTTGGGACAATTGTCGGATCTCTAGCTGACAAACAGTGAGATTTCCCTCTGAATATTGTGTATGCATTATCCTTCAGTAATGCAATTGTTTTCTTGTTTTTTTAATGCCTTTATAAACTAAATACAGGGGGCGGAAGAGAGCATGTGTGACTTACTGCATTACTTACATTCTGAGCTGCATCACCAAGCATTCTCCACAATACAAAGTTTTGATGTTGGGTCGTGTTTTGGGTGGTATTGCCACTTCTCTCCTATTTTCAGCATTTGAATCATGGCTTGTGGCAGAACACAATAAGGTGAGGGGTTTTTGCTCTGTCTTTGTTCTTAAATTCATTTTCAACTTGTAAGTGATTCTTTTAAGTTGATTAAATGTCATGCTTGGATCTAATGAACTGGTTTACATTTCCCCGATGGTGTAATTGTCATAGTATAGTCTCACTGAGTAGGGTCTCAATTCATAATAAGATATCTCATAGGATAAGACAGCCACTATGAACTCTTTTCACAACAAAAAATACAAAACTTGTTTCATCCCCTCCCCCTCTTCATGAGTAGTGATTACTTATGAGATGCATTTATAAAAGGAGAAATGACTTTCAAATTTGGAGAGAGAATATGTTGATCATATGCTTTCTAATATCTGGTAAATGCTTTCCTGATTCATTTAGTACAGTTCCTTGTAACCAGAAGACTTGATGCTAAAATACTTACAGAAAATTAACCAGTTACTCTAGCCAAAATAAGTAAATAAATAAAAAGCGTAATAGATTGTAGGATTTATTATTATCCTGTTTGATTCTCACACACCCACTTTGCATGTGTGGGGACTTAAATCCTCACACATGCAAAGTGAAGAGAGAATATGTAGATTTTTTTATTATTAACCTATTTGATTCTCACACACCCACTTTGCCCGTGTGGGGACTTAAATCCTCGAAATTCTACTTTGGAAGATGAGGACATACTACTAGGCAACAACCCTTGGTCTAATAAATTTTAGTTATAAATACTTCCATATAATTTTCATACAGCCTTCTCAATGCCAGCCAAGGTGCTTTCAAAATTAAGATCTTAATTCTAGAACTAGAACTTTTTGATGTTCTTGCAATTTAACTGATTTGTTCTAGTTTGAAAAGTTATCTTTATTCAAAAAGAGTTGCATATATCTTTACTCTTCTATTTTGCCCTGACCATGCTGTCCTTTTTATTTTGGCTTATCTTGTGCCTTCCATTCTCACTTTCTGAATTTGCAATAAGAGGTGAACAATGTAGTTGTTAGTTACACTTTCCTTTAATCTCTGAACCTGGGTCAATCAACTGCCCTGGTGTTTGTCTATGGAAGTAACCTTTTTTTTATTGCAATTATTCATGTTATCTTCTTCTCTTTGCAGAGGGGATTTGAACAACAATGGTTGTCACTTACATTCTCAAAGGCAGTATTTCTTGGTAACGGTCTCGTTGCTATAATAGCAGGTTTGTTTGGAAATCTGCTAGTTGATACCTTGGATCTTGGGCCTGTGGCACCCTTTGATGCAGCTTCATGCTTTCTTGCAATTGGGATGACCATTATACTATCATCATGGTCTGAGAACTATGGAGACCCGTCAGAGAACAAGGACTTGCTTACCCAGTTCAAGGGTGCTGCTGTGGCCATCGCTTCAGGTAGATGCCTATACTTGATTTATGTAGTACATGTCATCGCTTTTCCTCATAAATAATATCACAGCCTATGAATACTCCTAGAGTAGACCTTGAGGACTGCATGCACAAGACGGTGTGATTCCAGAATCACCATCCAGTTGTTCTGCCTAAGCGATCAACTATGCCAAAAAACAATGCTTATTGAATGAACTTAGCCTTTTTAATCAGCACGGTTTAGGTTGGCCATGTAAATGTGGCGTGCCTGGCTCTGACTGATTATTTTGGCATTTTATTTTCCTGGAAAGAGAAAGAAGGAAAAAACAACCTGTATCTTATATGATTTATTACAGGATGCAATTTTCTTTAAGAGATCTCCTGGCTAGCATTTTTCAAGCACTGCCGATCCAAGCTTGGTTCTCAGTACCTAATTCATTGTTCAACTGCTATCACCATAGTCTATCTATGTGTTCTTGAATGTGTTTCCTTCTTTGTTTGTTATTCTTACAGTTTTCTGGTTTATGTGGATCAGATGAGAAGATTGCATTGCTGGGCGCAATACAGTCCCTGTTTGAAGGTTCGATGTATACTTTTGTATTCCTCTGGACTCCTGCTTTGAGCCCAAACGAGGAGGAAATTCCCCATGGTTTCATTTTTGCAACTTTCATGTTGGCTTCGATGTTGGGAAGCACAGTTGCATCTCGCTTGATGGCCCGCGCATCACTGAAAGTTGAGAGCTACATGCAGATTGTATTTGTAGTTTCTTCTGCCTCTCTCCTGCTTCCAATTGTGACAAATGTATGTTATGTGATTCATTTTATCTCTATTTGATCATAGATTCTTCTCATTAAGGTCATTTCTAACTCTCCTTATTTGGAACAGTTCTTGGTAACCCCATCGAAGGGGAAAGGTGGAAGCATCTCATTTTCAGGTTGTATCCAGCTTCTTGGCTTCTGTACCTTTGAAAGTTGTGTGGGAATATTTTGGCCATCCATCATGAAGATGAGGTCCCAATACATACCCGAGGAGGCCAGAAGCACCATTATGAACTTCTTCCGTATTCCTCTCAACATCTTTGTGTGCATTGTGCTGTACAATGTAAGTTACTGCATCTATAGATTCATTCATTCACCTTTTACTTTACATGTTGCATCATAAATTTTTTATGGATCCACCCAATTCCTTCCTATTTGTTTTGGCCTGTCATAAGGTTTGATCACTCTTGATTGGTTCAAACCCAATTATAAACTTCAAAATGTGAACCTTCAGGTAGGCTCTCTTTATTTTTCTGGCTTAAAGCAAACCTACGGCAATCTGAGTTATTGCCAGTTCATATTGTGCTTGTAGACTCTAGAAGACTTTAGGCAGGTTTGGCTCGTTATAAATTGAGGCCCAGGGCAAGAATTTCAAAGGAGACTATTTATTTATTTATTTATTTAATATAATGATTTATATAATATTAATTTATAAACAATATAAAATTTTACTAATTAACCAATTAAAGCAAGTCTGCAAAAATAAAAGGTCAATGACAAGTGAAGAGTATTTTTAAAATACACTTATCAAAAAAAAAAGTGAAGAGTATTTTTAAAATACACTTATCAAAAAAAAAAGTGAAGAGTATTTTTAAAATACAAGAAAAGGTCTGGAAAAATAAAATAGTTAGAATATAACTCAACTATATTATCAAGCATTTCAATTCATTCTAAAACCTTAAAGAGTGCATGAACAAAAATCTATTTTTATGGACTCATACCAAGGATTTAATGCCATGTTTGGTGTGAGTGAATGGAATGCTTTTGTTTCCATTCTTTAGTTTGGTAATTAACTTTAAAGTTGGAATGATGATTCTTGTCCATTATCTGAGAATGGTGATTCCTACTAATTCATTCCACTTTTCAACTAAATGAATGACCATTCTATTCCCACTTAAAAAATAATAATAATAAATAAATGAATAAAAAAAACATTTGATGAAATGTCGGCTACACACATATATATATATGTTTTACAAAAATAGGATGTTTTTGTGTGCAACCAAACATAGGAATGAGAATGGTAATCCATTCCCATTCCATTCTTTGATTCATTCTATTCGCTTTTTTTTTTTTTTTTTTTTTTGGGAAAGTAAGGTAAACAAGTCTATCATACACCGGAAGTACTCTTTTCCTTGTGTTACTTAAAAATTGCTTTGGTGTGTTTTTTGAAGGTTAATGCATTCCCGATCACCGTTATGTTTGGTATGTGCTCGATCTTCCTCCTTGTGGCAGCTCTCTTGCAGAGGCGACTCTTTGCGATTGCTGATAAGTCAAGTAAGTATACTGTTGCAGAACTAAAGTTTTATTAGCTGTAGCTCATTTTGGGTCCATGTTTACGCAGTATATGATATGGTGGCAAACCAACACAATTATTTTGCCATCTGTAGTTTTTATAATAATAAGTCAAGTCATGAATAATAATTGAACTGGGGGAGCTTGCTAGGATGGCTTGGTAAGCAAGCAACCAGTTATGTAAAAAGCTCATTGATAAATTGACACTCTCAAATTGGTGGTTTGCTGGTGCTTACTGTGTGCAATGTGTGTTCATTACAGAGACTGAAGATTGGACAGCGATGAAGGATAAGGATTCTGAGGCAGAGCCATTAAACAATGCTTGATGTCAAAATATAGGACCAGACACAATTTTTTTGAAGGATAAAAAGAACCACCTAATTCTTGCCATAAACAGATGGTAGTATCGGTTTAATGGATGGGTATAATTCAAATGTAATGTGAACGTAAAGAAAATAGTGGGCTTTCGATGGAGGAGAAATGCTGCTATAATTGTTTCTCATCTGTGATTAAAGCAACATGGACAATACTTAGCATCAGTTCATCTCCTCAGCTTTTACAGTTGGGATCTTCAGTGTTCACCTTTGTAATTTTGATTGTTTCTTTTTCTAATATATGTCTCAGGAAGTATCTATTGAGATCCTAGTTTTGCTTTTGACAATTTTTCGATTCAACTCAAGTGTAAGTGTGAAATTCTGATGATGATTTTTTATAATATAACGTGGTTCATAAATTCTTCCGCAATTGTGTGGAAATAAATTCAGAGCATAAGCAATGTTGACACTTTGCTCATGTTCGTTAAACAAATGTATCCGATGACAAACTGATCGGCACGAAAGCTTCAACTAGAATTCTTTTTTTTTCTGAGCTTCTTGCAACGGTGGAAATGTTCCTAAACTGCTGCCCTGTGGGATCAATTGAAACTTTGTTTGTTGGTTGGACTTGAATCAATATTGTTTGGATATAGCTAATATTCAGTTATCTCTTGCAGTTTAATTCACTCCTTTTATACACTGCAGTACTCTAAATGCATATTTTTGGCACTACTACACTTGCATTAAAGGTACGAAAATCTGAACCACCTTGACACCAGCTATGTTACACTATCCATATTTAACACTCTTTATGTTATATGGAAACATCATTTTATTTCAAAAAAAAAAGAAAATATTAAAGAATATCAATATTTTCTCTTGTAAACGTATCCTTGCATTTGGACATTTGATTTAAAGAATATCAATATTTTCTCTTGTAAACGTATCCTTGCATTTGGACATTTGATTCAACATTTAAAAAAATATTGAGACAAGTGATATACGATAGAATATTTGTCAAAAAAAGAAAAAGAAAATATAGAATACACATGGTGCAGATTGTGCAAAACCTTCAAAATTGTGGTAAAACTGATGCTGCATTCACTTCACAAACTTCCAGCAGGAACCTCTCTTCCCTATGCAAGCATTAAGCTTGCCTATTGGCCGTATGTGGACCACTGCATTAGAGCATATTCAAAACATGGGTATGTTTCCAGTGTGTGAATGTACTATATTACCCTTAATTTACTAACACATCATTTGCTAAGAATATTATTCTTGTGTTTGTTGCAACAACAAAATTTAAATCAGTCCCTTCTAGGTGGGAACAAAATAATAAGACGAGTGGCGAGAGAAGAAAACTTTAAGCAAAAGAAAGAAATCATATCACAAACTAAAATGATTACTCCTTATAAATAAACATTATCTGGTACTCGAATAAAAAAAATATGCCAAAACATTAACCTCCACTACATAATTCATTCACCTCTCCTAAATTAGTGCCTATGCCTTCAAAAATGTAGAATTTGACTAGTCTATTGTAGGTTACTTAGCTTTTGTTGGAAAGGAAAAAGATGCAAATATATATATAGTCTCTCTCCTCTATAGGAGTTTTTTGCAGCTTACCTTGAAATTTAACCTTGCCATTAGAGACAGAACCAAGAGTTTAATTTACCAAGTATAGTGGTTAAAAAAAAAATCAGGTTGTCAATTGCAAAAACAAAAAAAACTAGTTCGAGTATGAGATTAGTCATTTTGTGCACACAGTATTGAAAAGCATGTATCGAATCTGTCCCTCTCAAAAATCCCGATTTTTAAGGAGATATACACTAAAAAATTTAAATCAGTTCCTTATAGGTGGGAACAAAATAATAAGACAAGAGTGGCTAGAGAAGAAAACTGTAAGCAAAAGAAAGAAATCATATCACAAGCTAAAGTGATTACTCCTTATAAATAAACATTATCTGGTACTCAAATAAAAAAATATGCCAAAACATTAACCTCCACTACATAATTCATTCACCTCTCCTAAATTAGTGCCTGTGCCTTTCAAAAATGTAGAATTTGACAAGTCTATTGTAGGTTATTTAGCTTTTGTTGAAATGCAGCTTACCTTGAAATTTAACCTTGCCATTAGAGACAGAACCAAGAGTTTAATTTACCAAGTATAGTGGTAAAAAAAAAAATCAGGTTGCCAACTACAAAAACAAAAAACACTAGTTCGAGTTTGAGATTAGTCATTTTGTGCACACAGTATTGAAAAGCATGTATCGAATCTGTCCCTTTCAAGTCTCAAAAATCCCGATTTTTAAGGAGATACACTTAAAAAATAAAACCAAACTTTGGCAAAGGTTAATGAATTCATTAGAGATAAAGTTAACATTTGGCATCTGTTAAATTAAAATGGTATCAAGCATAATAACTCCAGGGACACAGACAGAGACATGATCATGACAGCTAAAACAACTTTATTTATTACTGGATACAGCATTATTGGGAAAAGGCAAACTGGTTTTGTTTTTTCACCAGGGTTTCAAAACAATTTGGTTGTCTTATACTTCCATTTCCATTCCCATGATTCCATGCTTTCTCTTTCATTTTTGGCAGCCCCCTGATTTCCCATTTGTTAGTATTGCGATACAGTGATGATGGTACAAATTAATACTAGGTCAACATTAACGACAATGCACATAAGACATGACAACCTCTTTCTATATACAGAATCCAATGGCTCCTCGAAAAAATTAATCATCTTTTCTTGGGCACTTAAAGCACATTTTGGCTCGACACTAAAGAATGGTAATGAAGGGAAAGAGAGGCATCTTTGATTTTTCCTTACTAGGAAAAGAAGATAGTCTTTATAGTGTAAGTGCCTTAGACTTCCCTTATAGTTTCCACTTAATGGTTGAAGGTTAAAGAGATTACATTAAGATAATCCGAGAGACAGAGAGAGGTTTTTAGATTTAAACACTTGATGACCATGAAATTAACTAAGATAAAAAGAACTGTTCAAAAAGTTATAACTAATCGTAACCACAGCTTTAATTATTTTTTATCGATGCTTTCCAGTCTTCCAACCATATCTGTAAGCAAATGGGAGGACCACTTTCTTATCTTTTTAATGACTTTCACATCTTTTAAAATGCCATGTGCTTGAACTTCGTTTATAATTTAGATTATCTTTCTTGCTCACTCTCTACGAAATAAATGAAAATTAAGAACAGAGAAAATTTATGATATTAAAAGAACATTTATAACTGCTTAAGGTTAAAGGCATTGAGGTTGATTTATTATCAGACTAGGAATGGAATTACCCCATTATATGCTTCTTTTCATATGTTGAAGATAATTTTTAAATTCAGATAAATGTTTTAAATTGTTGAAGTGCTGCTGGCTTGATGATGATGCTTTAGCCATGACTCTGAATTTATACGACATGGAATACGTGGCAACTATCCGTACGTATAATTTCACGTGCCATTTCTTCTTCTACAGGATCCTCCACTATGTAGGTTGCATAAAAAATGAAAAGGATTGGTAATGGGTTCCTAAATCTTGATCAGGAATAATTGTTCCATATGCTGTGTGTAAATTATAATGTCCATTCCTTATCTTTAGTCCTTGGTTGTAGGAACCATCCACAGTTTCTTGTTTGACAAAAGCCTTGATCTTCTTCTATATATAGGGAGTAGTCTCACTTCTACTAAGCATTGGCTCCAAGATTGAAGTGATATCTGGAGAAGTAGACATGGTGTGATATTGGTCTGGCTCATCTTCTTTTGTTGCATAAAAAGCTCGGAGATGAGCCGAATCAATATCACTCTTGTATGCTTCTTTTCACAACAATTCTTCAACATGAACCAAAACCTAGCCATCATCTTCTGGTTTTGTCCAATACTGGTATCTCCATCACCCTTTGCATATATTCTCTAATTTTCTCTCTTTATTTTTTATTTTTTATTTTTATTTCTTCCCTTCTCTATGTTGTTTGCATGTACAGATTTTCAATACTACTGCAGAAAGTAGATTGGTTTAAAAAAATGAACTCTTTATTTGGACTTTGTTAAGAGTTTAACTTATGATATATTGGATAAACCAGAAAATTAGGTCAAAGGGAAATCTAGATAGGTTTGTTGAGTTAAGTTTGTTGAGAGAATCTCATATAGATTTGTTGAAAGAATCTCTCCATTTCTCTTTTGTTGTTGTAACAACGAACAGATATGTTTGTTGAAAGAATCTCTCCATCTCTCTCTTATTGTTGGAATTATAAATGTACAATAGGATACCATCAGTGTGGTGAAAATTTCCCATATTATTATCTTCTTCTCTCATCTATTCTCAGTTTTTCAATTGGTATCAGAGCATTGACTACCTGATTTTTTTGTTTTTATCTCGCAATTCCTCTCTGCTTTCTACCACAGTCCGATCTCATGGCCTCCGATTCAACCTCCTCTATCACTCCCCCCTCTTCCATCACCTATTCTAGGAATCCCAAACTTGGCACAAGTATTTATCAAGCTTGGTAGACCAAATTATTTGTCGTGGAAGAGCCAACCCCTCCCCGTTCTTTATGGGATTGAGATGTTAAGTATGGTTGATGGCACAATCGCAGCTCCACCAAGCACTATCTCCAAAAATTATGTAGTGGCTCCAAATCCAAAATACCTTGAATAGAAGAAGAAAGATCAAATTCTTCTTAGCTGACTACATGCTACGTTAACTCCTCAAGGAGTCGCACAAGTTGTGATACATGGGCAGGCTTAGATCGCGCCTACGGGTCTCACACAAATGCTAGGTATTATTAGATCAAGCATGAACTTTCCAATATTCGGAAAGGATCTTCTACAATCACTGCATTTATGGATCGTACCAGAATGATCTCAGGTGAGCTTTCTGTTATTCAGCAGCCCATTATCGATAGGGATTTGATTGGTTGTGTCCTCGACGGACTCAATCTTGACTATGATGTCATAGTCAATTCTGTTTAGACTATGTCTATTATTTTCCAGATATTATGCTCTCTTATTGATGTAACAACAAATAGATAAGTTTATTGAGAGAATCTCTCAATTTCTCTTTTATTGTTGTAACTATAAATACACAATATGACACCATCATTTCAGTGTGGTGAAAATTTCCCAAATTATTATTTTCTTCTCTCATCTATTCTCAGTTTTGCACTGACTTCTAGAGATCAAATACTTCACTTGATATTCATCATACTATATATAATTATCCATTGTGAAGGAGAGGGATTTCTCTTGCCCTTCTGTTGATGCCATCAACATGGAACTCGTCTTTGGTTGAATGTAACTGAATAGTAATATCATGTAGTTTTGGTACCTTAAAAAAAATTCTCACTAGTTTTTTAGACCTAATATGTCAACTTTATTTTATTTGTTGACACGTTCTTTTCTTT